CCACCTGCCTGCAGAACTGTGGCCCGACATGCCTCAACAAACTGCAATAGTGGACATGTAGTCAAGACTCTGTCCTTCTGCAGGACCAGCTCTCTGCAAACCCCGGGTGCAGGCAGCAGCCCCACCTGCAGACAGGGCAGCACTGAACTAGCACGGGCACCACACAGCGGTGGGAGACAAGTGGTCCCAGCTTTGGGCTCACAGGGAGATGCGGATGGGCTGGATGTGCTGCAACCCTGGGCTGAGCTGTTGCTGCCTGGGTGGTCCTGGAGGGGACGGAGGAGGCTCCTCCTGGAGGAGAGCTGCAGTGAGGCCAGAAGTGCAGGCAGCACTGCCAGGAGGTGAGCAGGCAGCTCCACCTCAAGAACCTGAATAGGCAGGGGAGGGGGGGGGAAGGACAGAGCCAACAATCAAAAACACAAATAAAAGATTGAAGGACAGAGCATGGGCTGGGCTGGAGCGGGGGGGAGGAGTAAGGGGGTCCCTCTGCAGTCAGGGCCAGGACAGCCAGGAGGGACAACAGAGAACATGGACCATGGAAAGGAGGAGCCAGCAAACTCCTAGGACTCAATGGACTGTGAACCTGCAGGTCTGGCACCCCTGGGAAACAAATAAACTTCATACCACCTGTGCTGCAGGTGCCCGTGGGAGGGGATATGAGCAAACACAGCCCAAGGTGGGCAGTGTGGGGATAATGCTGCGCTGCAGCCCCAGCACCAGCACCCACTCGGCAGGGATGCTGGGCAGCCCTCGGCTGGGGAGCTGGTCTTCCTGAGAAGGCAGACTTGTGTCCTGCTGATGTGCAGGGGCTTGGGAGGGATGGGGCTCCCCAGACTGAGCCGACCCAGAGGACCTGGGCTCTGGTACCCCCTCCCACACCCAGGCTCACAGGGCAGCGAGTACAGAGCCCAGCATCCTCCTGGGGACTATCCAGGGTCCCCCAGAGCAGAGGAACACCCTCACAGCCTCAGGGAAGTCCCAGGCACTGGGGGAGGCAGGGGG